ACATTGCCAAGGATGAGGCATCCACAGCTTCTCTGGGCAACCTGTTCCAGTGTCCCACCACCCTCAGAGTGAAGAATTTCTTCCTTACATCTAATCTCAATCTCCCCTCTTTCAGTTTAAAACCCTAACCCTGTGTCCTATCACCACACTCCCTGATAAAGGTCCCTCTCCAGCCTTCCTGTAGCCCCCTTTAAGGCAACCAGAAGGTCTCCCTGGAGCCATCTCCAGGCTGCACAACCCCAACTCTCCCAGCCTGCCCTCACAGGGCAAGTGTTCCTGCCCCTCATCACCTCCATGGCCTCCTCTGGGTTAGCTGTGTACACTGCAACAGCCCAGAGAGTGGCCAACCCTTGCCCACAGCAGGCTCCTCTGCAGGCAGGCAGTGGCTCCCACTGGGCTAGCAGCAGGACAGCCAGCAGTGACATCCTGAAGCCATCTCCATACCAGGTGGTGCCCAGGAACCTCCCAGAGGGGTGCCACATCACACGTGCCACTCTCATGCTGTGTCCTTCAATATCTGCCACGGGTTCATCACTGAAAAACAGAAACCAAAGCCACAGGGCAGTGGTCAGAGGGGGGGTCTGGCCAGGCCCTCACAAATGTTAATGGTCACAGCAAGGCAGCTGCTGATTAAACACAGGCCAGGCAGGGATATCAGGATTTTAACTAATGACTCCAAATTCTGCCTTTGGTTCACACAGCTGAAGCTCCAAGTGAAACCCCCTTATCCACACTCATGTTGGTTATAAAGTTCCCCTGGGATAACTATTTCCTAAAAATTAACAACACTTTTGTTAGTCATAGAATCATTAAGGTTGAACAAGTTCATCAAGTCCAACTATCAACCCAACACTCCCATCACCACTAAACCATGTCCCCAGGTGTCACACCTACAGTTTTTTGAACTCCTTCAGGGCTGGGGACTCCAGCACCTCCCTGGGCAGCCTGGGCCAATGCTGAACCACTTGTGCAGGAAAAATTCTTCCCAATACCCAGCTGAAACCTCCCCTGGTGCAACTTCAGCCCACTTCCTTTTGTTCCTTGTTTGTTCATTGGGAGATGAGACCAACCCCCACCTCACTCCAGCCTCCTCTCAGGGAGTTGTAGAGAGCCAGAAGGTCTCCCCTCAGCCTCCTCTCTCCAGACTGAACCCCCCCCAGGTCCCTCAGCTGCTCCTCACAAGCCATGTTCCCCAGACCCCTCCCCAGCTTCGTTGCCCTTCCCTGGACCTGCTCCAGCCCCTCAAGGTCTTTCTTATACCACAGCACCAAGAGAACAGCACTTAGAAAGTAGCAACAGCAGAAACATAAAGACTCTCTGAGCTGCACAAAGTTTTGCTGTGACTACCCAGGACATGTCCTGAGCTACAGCAAATCCAGCTGTTCTGAGGAACTGCAGGGCAGGCAGGAGAGGATATTTTTCCTCCCAGGTCAGTAGCCTTCAGCAGACAACCTGAACAGCATTTAGTTCTTTCCAACAGACCACCTCAAGAGCTGTGGTCATGTGAGTCTTATAAACAACCTGTCCCCTTGCACCACTTCTGCAGTTGGGAGGGTGACTTCCAGCTCAGGATAAACCAGGGAGGCTGTGGGAGATGCCTGCCTCCTCCCAGGCTAGCACTGGGGCTCCCAGTCTCCACCCTTCTGCTCCTCACAGGCCTCAGATCCATGCTGCACATCTTCCAGAACTACACTGTGCAATGACAGGGCCACTTGGTTTCGTTACAGGCTGAAGGTTTTGTGCTTGCTCACATGTTTGGTGAGTCCCTCTCTGAATGCTGGTGCTTCCCAGGAACTCAACAATTCATCTCCAAGAGGGGAAATCTTCACCTCAATGAAAAGTTAGGATCAAACAATCCCCAAACCTTCTAGCCATCCCCCAGAACACTTTATCAATGCCCAGCAGCAACTGTGGCTTGACTCCTTCCAGACCCTTCCCCTCCACTCCCCTCATGAGAGGGATCTGCTGAGGAAGGTGGCACAGACTGAGGCCAGGAGCTGCACTGGTGGAACTACAAAACCAGGTTATATTTCCAGGGGGGTGGTAAATGGCCAATGTTTAGGAACACAAAATAAACCTCAAACACCACACGTGCAGCTATGCCTGTCTGGTATCCCTCTGACCTTTCCAGGCTCCAGAGCTTGACTGAGCCATCAGCAGCACAGGAGGCCAGGTTAACATCCTTCTTGTCCAGAGAGACCGTGGCCTTGGGGTGGAAGACGATGGCTCCTACGTTGGTGTTGTGTCCTTAAGAGAAAGGAAAATCAAAACCCATCATCTGTCAGGTGTTCTTGGCCAGTCCTTCCAAAAAGCAGCATTTCTTTGGTACTAGTTAGTACCAGTGAAGACTTTTGCTGTGTCCTCCCACGTTGGGTGACGTTGAGTTGGCACATCTGTCCTGCAAACAGCTCAACTGCACTTCCAACAGCACCTGCTTCAGGGTATGGAATGCCAAGGTCTGTAACCCTCAAAATGGGATGAAAATCCAACATATGGACCAAGAGATTTGTCCTGGCATTTGTGTTTAGTCAAAGTTGTGAGCACTGTTCAAAGAACCTCACTGCTACATGTGACGTGGCCCAAACTGCTGGTGTTTGGCACATAACTCAAACCAGGTTGTTTTGAGAAATGAGAGAAAGGGCAAAGAGAAATGGCAAATTTGGGTCTCAGCTCTAAGAGGAAGACCAGGACTTCCTCTTCATTGTCTGAGACGTGCCCATGCTCCACTAGCCTGAGCACTGCCCTCATTAGAACAGAGTCTGCCCACAGACCACAGGGCTTTGAGTCACAGAACAATTCAGATATGGAGCTCAACCCAGAGAGGAACAACAGACCAAAGAGTCTCAGGGAAAGTCTCTCTCTACCTCGTAAGGTGTGAACAAGGTTGCAGTCAGGCACAGACCAGAGCTTGCACAATCCACTCCTGGGGAAGACAAGGAATAAATGTCAGTGCAGATGAAACACAAAGCTGCAGAATCACCCTGGGGCATGCTGCAATGGCCAAAATACCCAAACACTGTGGTCAAACAGCTGTAAGAACCTGAGGCCATTTCCTCTTGTCCAGTCACTTGGGAGCAGAGACCAGCCCCTCCCTGGCTCCAGGCTCCTGTCAGGAGCTGTGCAGAGCCAGAAGGTCTCCCCTGAGCCTCCTTTGCTCCAGGCTCAGCACCCCCAGCTCCCTCAGCTGCTCCTCCCCACACTTGGGCTCTAGACCCTTCCCCAGCAGCTTTGTTGCCCTTCTCTGGCCACACTCCAGCCCCTCAATGTTCTTGAAGTGAGGGGCCCAAAACTGACCCCAGTATTTGAGGCGTGGCTTCCCCAGTGCCCAGTACAGTGGGACAATCTCTTCATAGGAAGCGAAGAGAGTTCAGAGTAGGAAGAAGCATTTCTGAACTCTCATGATTCACATCCCCCTCACTCCTGCTCTGCTCCCCAGCCCCTACAGCAAGTGCAGAAGAGAACTGACCAGCAGGCTGTAGCCAGGAGCTTGGAGTTGGGGCTGAAGTGGCAGTAGGAGAGCGGGCGATCGTCTCCAATCTGGCTGCAGAAGTTATTCAAGGACTGTAACCAAACAATAAACAATTACAAACAGTCTAAAGAAAGCCCTGGGCAAAGACTGAAGTGAAGGAGGTGAATGTGCACAGGAGGAGGCAGAGGCCTTTGGGAAGTCACTCCCCAAGGGAGGAGCTGCACGTGAGCCACTCCAGCTGCACACAGGAGAGTGAAGCTACCACAGCCCTGGGGCACAGCTGAGCTCCTGGCCACCAGTAACCCCACAGGCCTGCTCTGCTACTATGGTTTGGATCAAGAACTTACTGTCATTTTAGCCTCTTTTCTACAAGTCATCCAATGAACACAACCACAGACGAGGGCAGGCAGGCCAGTGGGCTGAGGGGAGAAGCAAATCCTCCAGCAGCTAATGCCTCTGGGTGTAAACAGGATTAGGGAGGCAGCGTGCTGTGTGCTTGAGCCTCTCTGTTCAGTTAAGCTTGGAATTTGATTTAACATGCTGGAAAAGGGTGTCAGAGTCATCTAAGACATGTTTCACATGACTGTGTTGGTTATTTCCCTTGGTTTTATGCACTAGTGACCACTGCACAGGAAGAGGGAAGCAAGTGGTCTCTTCCTGGCCAGCTAAACCTGTGACAAAGCCAGGAATAAATTCCATCATAGAATGCTCTGGGTTGGAAGGGACACTTAAAGGTCATCTAGTTCTTTCTAAATGCCTTTAGCTTCACAGACAGTGCAAGGATGTCTCTCTACCCCATTTAGAGATGGACAGCTGAAGTCTACCTCTAGATCCCCAGAGGAAGTTAGGACATGCTTTACACTGAGAAGAACCAGAGCTTCCCAACAGGTGACACTGCAGAACACTCCCTGCAGCTGGACAGCATCTCAGGACAGCTGAGCTCATTCTGAACTCTTTGCAGGACCAGCAAAAAGTTGTAAGAAGAGCAGCTGAGCAGCTGCCACACCTACTCTCAGGGATTTGTGTAGCTCCTGCCTCTGTGAGGTCCTGGTTGCCTCTGGAATCTCTTTGAAGAGCCGAGCCTCTTCCAGGCGCTTCACTGCCCTGTGGAGAGCAAAGGTGGAGCAACAAGCCTCCCTCATTTCCCTGCCCTGCTGCTGGAAGCAGGAATTCCCCTTCTTCCCCTCCCAAAACTGAGCTAATGCTGGAGTGGGTCACTGAGCACTCCAGCTCTAAGCTCACTGGATTTGTCTCCCCTCCCTTTGGTCCCAGACTTCCTGCACTGCCCGCAGGGGGATGGGCAGCTGGGTTGTCCCCAAGGCCACACTCCCTCCTCCACTCCCAGGGGCTCTCACCTGGGCAGGGAGTAGTTGGCCAGCCACACCCTTGCTGTTTTCAGGCTGCGTGGTCCTTCGTGGTACCAGGTTTGCTGATACTGGAAGAAAAAGAACAAAACTAAAGATAAAAGCTAATGTGATACTGCCCCTCCATTTGCTTCCCTCAGATGAACTCCTCATAGTGCCAAAGTGCCACCACAGCATCTGCTCTTAAATCTTGCTGTGTGAGGCCTCTTTTAAAGGGCATTTGGCCTAACTAGATCCCTAAAAAAAGGGACTGAGACAGTCAAACTCTCTGCTCAGTAGATGAGATCCTGATCTGCTGCCATTTCACTCAAGGACGTGCCAATTGAGCCCTAACTTGTTTTTAATGACTGAGAGGTTCCTCCCTCCCTACACATCACCCAGTAAAACAAGAAAGCCCAGAGCTGCAGAAATTGCCTTTACTTCTCACAGCAAACCCCCAATATAATAATAAAAAAACTGAACCCTTTCCAAAAAGAGACAGGAGAAGCAGAAAAGATGATGCAAAAAGCAGAAACAGATGCAGTAGCAG